AATTTTTTAAACTTTAAATTTTCAAGATTTCATAATAACTCAAATAATAAATATATATTTAATATTTACACTTAACCGATTTCTATTTTTGGTATGAAAAAAGCCCATAGATGAAAATAATCTCTCAACTTATGCACTATTAACAAGTATACCATGAAGTCTTATAGCTACAGAGGAAAGCTCTGGTCGAATTTCGCCACAAGATTTCCAATATTTTAATAGATCTCCTTCAAATTGATTCTAATTATTCATTGTAAAAGGAAATATCTTATCACGATAGTCTTGTAACTCAGCCATAATTTTTTTAGGTGGATTTCCAAACCAAGCACAATAGTAATATGAAATCCATATTCCCATTTCAGCAAATGTAATACCATTAATTGGTAAATTAAATTGTGAAAGACGAATATTAGGATGAAGTAAATAATTAAGAATCAAAAGAGGTTGCTCCCATTCTCTCCAACGTCGCTCTAAACGTTCTGTCATTTTTGCACCAAAAGTTATATCAGAATGCTCATCTATTAGCTTATAAAGATAGCTAAAAGATTGTAATACTTCATAAAGACGAGCTGTATTAGTTTGAAGCTGATTTAAGCAAAGACATATAGGCACAAGTAAAGTATGTAATTCAGATATTATGTTCCACCAATTACTATCACTGATTGTTTCGCAAATATAGTTTGGCAAAGCTAAACTATTATCTTCAGGTGATGTATATTTTGCAACTAAAGACTATAAGATAAAAATATATTAATAAATTAGATTATAATTTTATTTAATATTAGATATATATAAGCTCACAATTAAAGATGCTTTTGAACGCAAAAGACAACTAAATGCTTCATAAAAGCTATTCCATCTAGTATCACCTGGATGAATTAATGCAATATATCTCTTATGTATCATCTTTTGCTCATCTCTCAGTTTACCAATAAAATAAGAGTGATTAGCATTGTTGAAATAATTTGTTAATTCGATAACTTTTTTAATAGCACTGTTAAAATGAACATTTTCTTTAAAGATCTCTCCAACAACTAAGTTAAGTTGGCGTGCAAAACAAGGCAAAAAAACAATTTCGCGATAAGATTTACACATACGGTGTCTAAAATAATTTAATAAAATTAAAATAATTATACAAATAAGAATATTTAAAATTTTTTAACTAAAATAGATTACTAAATGCTTTGTTTTAAAATCCTCAATAAATAATAAATAATGAGTAATAAATAAATAATGTATAAATACCGTGCTGCTGCATATGTGGATGCTGAATCAGAAATTATAGCGCCAACTTTAATTTGTTGAGTTTTTAAATCCTCAAGAAATACTTCAATTTTAGAAATTACATTGGTTGTTCGATCTAGTTCAGCACTAATATCTTGAACACTCTAAATTAAAACTTCACCAGAAGATGTAATAAGTACGGTTCCAAGAATATTTTGTTTTAAAATATTTTTCCACCTATTGAATGCTAATGACACTCCAACAATATCATGAGTTGCCTTTGTTATTAATTCAGAATGAAGTTCTTGTGTAGCATCTTTTAATATACGTCCTCCAAGGGTATGACAGCTTGGTATTACAAGATTTGGATTTTTAAATTTAAGCATTGCGATTGATGATTCTTTTTCAACCCAATTAAATAACCATCCATTTTCAATTGTCGCATTTAAAACCAATTTCTCAAAATGAGATATATCAACTAAACTATATTCTTGTGCAAGATACGGTTGCATTGGTTGTTAAACTATGTCTATTGATTAAAAAAATTAATTAGAATAATTTATTAAATTATAAATTAATGTTATTAATTATATTACTTTGCGA